CATCTAACCAGTCTGACAAAGCTCAGTCCACAACAGCCCTATCCTTTAGGCTTTGTCTACTCTTCCCATCTCAGAGCTTTCTTCCACACTAGCATTTACATATGTACCACCTCTCCAGGCTACTCCCCTTGCCTCTTTTAAGCGCCCTCTACAGACCCACTTCCTTCTCAGATCTGCTGTTCATGTACTTTTACTCTTCATCCATCTCCATCAGATGATGGAGATGCTGCTGCTGCTGCTGTTGCGCTCTCCATTATAGCACTGAGTATTTGCATCAGGAAGTGGTTTCCCTTCTGCCTCCATCACTTTGTCCAAAGTCAGCTTATAAATACCTTGGGAGCAAACCCTAGTACTTCATCAAACTGTCCATCCAGATCATGCCTCTCTGTGTTCCTGACTTTCAGCTGGTTCCTTGCTCGCTGGGTGGACGCAAGAATCTTTCCTTAGTCCTGGAATCCAAGTAATATACGGCAAGGACCAGCCCAAAACTCACTAGGCATTGATTCATGCCAAAGGAGAAGAGATGGTGCTAGCCATAGCTTTCCACCATGGCCCTTCCTTGCTGGGATATGAGAGGGGCAGCAGGAAGAATCACTTAGACCAGCTTGGGTACGATGCATAGGGAGCGGTGAGGAGGAAAGGTAGGCAAAGACGGGCTCTAGCTCTTGGCTGGCTCACTCCCATCACGTGTTTGCATGCTCCCTGCATTCCAACCATGGCTCTCTCAGACCCTCAGCTCATTGAACAATGCAAAAAAAGTCACATCCTCCTTGTGTTCTCTTTATTGATCAGCCTCTCCCCCTCGCACACATGTTCCCTTTGTGCCCCCCTCCCCTCCAAATAAAACCCTAACAGAGAAGAGTCACCAGCTGGAGTTTAATTTCAGACTCCAAGGCATATCTGGAGCCAATTTGCAATGCGCTTACTCTGAAAATCGCCCTCCCCTGTGATGCCTGACAGCTCCAGACCACAGTCCTGCTCTCAGCTCCCAAGGAAAAATGTTTTAATTTGTCACAAACCAATTATAGCGTCTCATCTATCCCTGAATTACTCATCTTGGCTACAGTATAGGACAAAGGGCCCCTCTGAGAGGAGATTAGACATGGATATTAACAAGAGAAAAAGTGTCCACTGTCTCACCTTGCTGGGGACGCAGCTTCCAAAGAGACAGGAAAAGGAAACCCCTCCTGATTGACAGCTGGAGGGAGGGTTCCCATCCCACAGCAAATCCCTCGTTTCACGTGGAAGAATAGTCACGACAAACTCTGTATTCAAATAATATTCATGCATGGCAGATAACAGTCACGGCTGGCAGAGCTGCAACATGAATATAAATAACCTTCACTCCACTGGTTGCTACTGCAGACACTCTGGCAGTGCGCTTGAGGCCGGGTGAACGGGCTATCAGCATGGCGCCCAGCAAGCGGAGGTGCCTGGGTGCTCAAACAGGTAAAATTGCCTTGCCTGAGCCCCATGTGCCACCCCTTTAACGAAGCTTCTTTCCCTTGCGTTTTGTACTAAGCTGAAACGTCATCCTCCTAGCAAAGAGGTCCTCTCCAGCCATCAGCCATCTCCTCCCACCCTAGCTGCTAATGGTGTTCGCAATGCTCCCCAGGGGCTGCTTGTGTGGGGTACACCAGCACTTCTTTGAATTCTTGCTTTGGACCCAATCTAGTTCCTGGGGCGCTCCACAGCAAGGCCCTCCACTTCAACTAGGCTCTGTCCTTACCTCTCCAACCTGGGCTGGCCTCAGGCAGTACCCTTCCAGCCCCAAACTGCCAAGGACCAGGATGCTACTCTCCACGCTGAGGCTCAGCCTTCCGGATGGTTTTGAGAAAGCTGGAAATTGCTCTGTCCCCAGTCTCTTCCCAAACAGCTCAGGTATAGACTTGTCCAGGTGAAAATGGGAGCTGAACACTGGAAAGTATCACCTGAGGTTCCCACACAAGAGGCTCTTTGCATTTACAGATCCAACTGTTACTAGCCCCTACCATTTAGCTCAGCAGTAGGGACACCAAAGCTGCAGGCACTGTCCTCCTCTCAGTCAGCAGGATAAGCAGGACTGCTTTGCTTCTTCCTCTCAAGTTGACTCAAAGTATCCAAGAGCAGCCATGAGGCTCCCTTCCTCCCTGTGCCTATGTGAGATCACTTCTTCCTTGGATGAAGAGGGAGACGGTGAAAGCCAATTTCCCTTTGTGCTCATGGCGAATATTTGGAGAATTCCTCTTGTTTACTCAGAAGTGTTAATGATGCGTCAGAAATTACCTCTGAGATTGTAATTAAAGAAAACGGACTGCTTTGCTTCTTCCTCTCAAGTTGACTCAAAGTATCCAAGAGCAGCCATGAGGCTCCCTTCCTCCCTGTGCCTATGTGAGATCACTTCTTCCTTGGATGAAGAGGGAGACGGTGAAAGCCAATTTCCCTTTGTGCTCATGGCGAATATTTGGAGAATTCCTCTTGTTTACTCAGAAGTGTTAATGATGCGTCAGAAATTACCTCTGAGATTGTAATTAAAGAAAACGGCAGAAGAGAGAGACACACACACACAACACACACACACAGCTTAGTCACAGCTTCAAATGCAAGCCGTGAAGTGCTGAAGCAGACAGCAGTCTTCCCTTCACCTCAACCTGCAGGAGGACCCTAGAGTCACTCTCTAACCACAGAGGCCCAGGAATGCAGCCCCCGAGCATTGTACAGCCCCTTGCACTCCTCTGCTTCAGCTACAAACAAAGCAACTGCTGCACCCTGGTTATCCAGGAGCTGATGAGCCATGACCCCTAAGGGAGGCCCACAGCAATTGAGTAGGAAGTCCAGTCCCTTTAAACCCATTCTGAAAGTGGAGCAGCTGACCTAGAACAGGAATTAAACTCCTGGCCATCACCAAAACACAGGTGCCTACATGCATATAGCAACATATTGGTCAGCCCCTGCTAGCCTGACCTCAGGGCTTGGTGTCTCCTGGAGTTTGAGCACAGCAAAAACAGTCTTCTCTCATGGAGAAAGAAGAGGAACGTGATTCCTGTTAGGTTACAGGAAAGTACTTGGATTGCCTAATTATGCAGGGGTGACCGTTGTGGGAAGAGAAGCAGCTGACAGCTGGTTTCCCAGCTCCTCCCTCCTGAAGGCCAAATCTTCCTGCTTTGCCTCCTGGACCATTTCCACAGCAAGAGCAAAGCTGCTTCCACCAGGAGAACAAACAGGGGTCAGGCAGGGGAATCAGCTCAGTGTAAGGCAGCCAGCTGGGAAAAAAAACATTCCTTTTTTCCACCTTAGCCAGCCGCTTAGTTCGTCTAGAGCTTGTTTTGAGGCCTGGATTAGGAGAATGGTGGAAATGCCAATCCCTGTGAGTCCTAAATTCAAGGTGGAGGAAGGAGGAATGAGCTGGGTTGTCCTCACGTTCACAACCAGCTGCTGCCTGGGTGTGCAGGAACTGTGAGGCCAAGGCAGTCTGTACAGAGCCTAGCACAGGTAGACCCTGGCCACAACCACACAGTGCTACAACAGTAGAGGCAAATCTTTGGGTCTCTGGGCAGGATCTGTTTGAATCACTCCTCTGCTACTTATCCACTCACCTTTGGTGAAGCAATAGTTGAGGACAGTCCTGAAGTCAGCCTCATACGAGCCCAAAACTACCCATTTCCAGTAAGCACAACAAAGCAGGAATTGGGGGCTTGGTTTTTTCCACTCCTGTTCTCAGTATTTCTCTATCAAGAGACTACTTAAACCTTTTAAACCCACATAGCATTCCAGGTGAGCCTCACGGCCCTTGGAGCAGCTACCACCTCAGACTACAGAAGAAAGGAGGAGGTGAAATTTTCTCCTCAAAGCCTTTGCTTACCTGGAGGCAGGTAAGCAAATTGCTAACTAGGCATAATGAGCACCTGCTTTCTGGCAGCAGTTGGCCTTTTCATGAAACCAAAGCCTGTATCAGGCCAAACCATCCAGTCAGTGCCACTGCAGGACCCCGGGGGGCTGTACTTTAAGGAACTTGTGATCATATTCCTATCTAGACACATTCTTATCTACATATCTTATCTTATCCTGCCTGCCTTCAAGATGGGCAAAGGTTAAATTGCCCTCTGTCTCCTGGAGAGGGAAGGATCAGGCAAGCTTGGAAAATACTGCCACCCTCAAATCTACACAGACTAAACTTCTCCAGGTGGTAAAATCTGGGCCTCAAAAGATGAAAGCCCATGGTAGCTGTGGGAGGAGGACCCATTCATTAGGAAGGGTATTTCTCTCCTTCAGTACAGGAGGGTCAAGCTCCCTCCCTCTCAGCTAGCAGCCCACATAGGCAATTTTAATCCTGGGGATTTACTGTCCAGGTCTAGGAGCAGGGCTCTTCTCCCTCCCCCCTCATCTGTACACACAGCAACAGGAAAGGAAGCACTTCCACCCTCTAGATTAAGTCGACAAGCAAACTGGGATGGCGAGGCAAAGTGTGACAGCCCCTGTGGTTAGCATGTCTTGCAAGCTAGCTTTCTTTCACACCGGGTGAGCATGGGCTACCTCAGAGCAAAGACTGCTGGTGACAGGCCTAGCACAGTGCTTCCACATTACTGGTTCACCTGAGGAAACTGTGGTTCAGCCAGTCCGGTCCCTGATGCTACAATACAGCCATGGCAGAACAAGCTGGAGCTGGCTCTGCCTCTCGTCTTGTCCCTCAAACTGCCGACTGTGCTGGGGTGCTGCAAGGCTTGAGGATGGGTGTGATACTAAGGCAGGAAGGGGGAAAATGTACTTATCTGTCCAAGGGCCAGGAAAAGTTTGACACACAAACCAAGCCACTGAGAAACCCCTTGGCCCTACAGTTCTCCCAGGACCCGCGGTTGGCCTGCAGGCTCTGGGTAGGGAAGGCCCTCCATCACACAAGTGCAAAGCAGGGCTCTTCCTACTGTTCGCTGCTCCAGGTGCCCTTGTCTCAGGAGAGGGACTGGCAGCGCTCAGAGCACCCAGGGCAACCCACACCCAAACTCATGCTGGCTAGACTCTTGAGATTTGCTCCACCAATTCTTTATTAGACATCAGCATGTGCAGGTACAGGGTGCCCCACTACATGTACACAAGGAGCACACACTGTAGGTACCAGGAGACTCCTCGGGCACTTGGTGCCTCACTGAGCACACCCCTGCCGTGCCCAGGGCGGGTTGCCTTGGACAGAGAGTCCCACTGCCACCTCGTGGGTGAGGGACGCATCGCCTCCGCTTCACCACCGGGCACAGTGGGCAGCAAACCTCCCTGCAAAATCCCCAGCCCCTCTGGAGAACAGGACCTGGAGAAACCACAAGGTTCCCTGATTCGGAGGAAGGACGCAAAGGGGAGTCCACACTTACCAGAGCTAGAAGGATAACAAATAATTCTGATCTCTCCCAGTTTCCATTGCTGCTCCCCAGCTCGACTGGGAAGAGAGGATGCTGGCCACGTAGGGCAGGTGTCCTACTGCAGGGTACGTAGAGGGAAGAGGGGAGAGCCTCACTGCCTGCAGCCAGTACCTGCCCTGTGCTGCTCTTACTGTCCTGGTCCCATCAGACTGAACCACAGCACCTCTTGAGGGCGCTGGCTGCCCAGGAATGGAGCCTTGGGAGATGAATGTCTGTCCCCATACACAAACGTGGGGCTGAGGCAAACCCGACTATTCCCTTCTGCTCCCGGTTAGCACCTGGTTGTTAAAAGATGACTTGTGTGGCGTAACAGGCCACAGGCAATGAAAACCCTACTTCACCATGTGGTCATCAGGGAAATAAGGAAATTACAAACCTCTCCCATAGAGGGAACAAAGTGGTGAGCAATTCCTCACAGTCCTGAGAAACTGCAACTGAGCAGATGCAGCCTACAGCTACTCCCAAAAGGAGGTCTAAAAATGGAGCACTCCTGTCGAAACCATTTTGGGTCTAGGACAACCCACCCCAGAGAAAAGGAGGTGGTTCTGCTCACTGCCTCCCTTAGCTGTGGGGCCTGCAACTCCAGTTTGCAGTGATGCAATAAGAGGGATGTCCTCGATGCCTCATGCCCCATAGCACCTCTCTCTGCATCTCTGAACCCAGCTAAAAAGCCATGGCACCTGCAGGGAGGGAGGGAGAACTGCCCCTTTGTGGATCAACCCATGGTCATTGACACAGCCATATCTGGCAGGAGTGTGGCATTGTGGGATGACACACAGTGTCATACTCCTGTATTCAGGACTGTTACGACCCCTGAGTGGTGGACAGGCGAGTTGAGCTCTGCCCTCCTGAGTTGCCAAAGAGGCTGAAGACAGCTCTGAGCTAGATGTGAGGAAGAAGAGGTCTTAGAAGTTCATTGTCCAGAAATAATGCACTCGGATCCCACATCAGGGACAGAGGGGACTTACACGGCCCCTTTGGTCTGCAAACCTGCAGTCTCCATGTCAGAGGGAAGAGCAGCCTGATCACAGTTCTGCATGACTTCAGGAAAGCAGCAGTGAGGAAAGAACATCCCTTTAACAGCCCTCTCTGAGGCACTGGACAAGGGAACATCAATCCTGAGCTTAGCTCTTATTTTTCTGCTTCCATATTTTGGACAAGCGGAACTTGTTCTTCTTCTTGTCTGGCTCCTGGCTGTCACGAGGTCCATCTGCAGGAGAGGGAGCAGATGCAGAGCAGGTTGAGACTCACGGCCTCAGTACAGCCAAGTGCTGCTCCATAACTGTAGAAATGGCCCTTACCCAACCTCTGAATCATGTCTGCCAACATCTGGTCCTCCTCTTGCTCTCTGTAGTGAAAGAGGATAGCGTTAGAAAACTGTTTGCTCTCTTTCATGATAGAGCAGGAGACACTTCAACATGTGAAGGCCAGAGGCTACTCTGCCATCCCTCCAGAAGTGAGTGACCCCCCCCAGTGCACCCCAAGAATGCAGGGGGAAGACAGTTGGAGGAGTCCTAGACACTAGCAAATTGCACCTGGTCTCCTTTAAAAAAAACAAGGGCCTACGTGGGGGTTTCCAGATCATAGCAGTTCAACACCACGCTAGTCCCAGCTAGCATATGATTCACCTGAGTTGACCATGTTGTAAGGCAACACCACACCCTAAGAGATGAATAAGGTTGAGACCAGTAGCTGGATAAGTGCTGGATAAGTGTTTGCATTGCAGTCACGGACAAACACACCGCTATCTCCTGGGGCCTGGGCAAGGCCAGAGCCAAAAGCCTGGGCATTCCTAGAATCCTTAAGGTAGAGTCAGTGTCCTGAGGGCGAGAAACGGAGGCTGCTCTCAACAACACGAGCCACAAAGCCATCAGCTTGACCCAGCAGCCTTCTTTTGAACTTGGGGAAGATCCAACCCTCAGGACTATGTCTAAGGCCTATTACTTTCACTTGCTGCAGCAGATGAACAAACTCATATGCTCGTGATCCCACAGTCCTCCTGGGGTTCCCGTGCCACCTCTGTCCTCCCCAGTGCTCCATCTCCAGCCTGTTCCTCCCTTCCCTACGCCTCACCCACTTTCACAGGCCTTGTCCTCAGAGCAGCATTACCTTGAAAGAGCACTGAATGTGGCTGCGGTCCTGACCCATGTTTCTAACAGCTGCCAGGGAAGCAATGGCAGAAGCATTTAAAATAAGGTGGCTGGCTGACAAGTCACCACCCACCCCTCATGGAGCAGAGTTCTGAATTCCAGTCATACATCCACCTCTATAGTCTGGGGAGAGGAGAGAGCACAATACAAACTGTCCCTGGTGTTGGCTCATCCCCCACCACCTGAGGACCCTCACCTGAGTCTGTCCTCATCCAGACACTCCACAATATTGTTCCGATCATTGACTGTGTTAAGGTATGACTCTAGCAGCTCCTTCTCTCGCTCCTTCTGCCTGGGTGTCTTCAGTTCCTCTGCACAAGAAAAGGGAAGCCCATCTCTCAGTTACAGGGGGCACTTCCTCACTGCAGCTCAGGCCAAATGTTCTCCTGCCACCCGCCATGTTCCAACATATCCCTCTCACAGGCCCAAATTTGATTAACCCCACACCCAGGGCCACATCTTACACCCCCTCAGAAAACATGGGTGGGTGAGGTGTAATGGGGGGCTGCACCTGCCAGTTCAATCAGGAGAGATCCCTCCTCTGAACCCTGCAATCCCCATCAGGCAAATAGTGTCATTCAGACCTCAAGGACATCCTGGGGCTGATGCACAAAGTGAGGACTCTGCATAGCCAGGGGCCAGCAGGACTCTCTCAGTGCAGCTGGTCCTCACCTGGCCTGCTCATGAGGTGCCGCAGCTCTGTCTCAATGCTCCACTGCTTCTCCTCCAGCTTCTGCTGCTTCATCCTGAAAGAGACCACAGAAGTATGTGTTGCTGCCTCTCCATGCCCTACGGCTGGACCGTTCTCATATTATGTTGAAGCCTCCCCTCTGCAGGGCCCACCACCTAGGCAGGGGCTGGTGGGGCAGGGAGGATCATCTTCCACCACATTTGTAATGTTTTCCTCCCCATAGGCTCATCACAGACCCTGGGGGCTCTTCCGTCCATCCAAGGTGGCAAAGCCCCATCAGCTAATGCCTCAGGATGCTGGCAGGTCTCCCACAGACTTCCTCAACACCCCCTCATCCTACCAACTAGCACATTATTTTTTTCGACTGCCCCACTTCCTCTCCTTTACGGCTTACTGCTCGCGCGTGTAGGTGCACAGATAGATGGATGAGTATCTGGCACTCACCTGTACATCAGTTCCGATTCCTGTCTGAGCAGCAGCTGTTTCTCATGGATCAGTTTGAACCAATCCACCATGAGGGCATCCTCAGACTCATCTGCAAAGGAGACAAAAGCCAAGACACCTCTAGGAGCTGTATTAGTTCAGTTCCCCCTCACACAAACACACAAATACTTGAAGAACGGCATAGGATAACTTGTACGAGCCACAGGCAAACTCAACTGAAAACAGGTCATCTTTGGCACACCTAGGGAATATTAGTGCGTTACTAGGGAAGGGATGCACATCTTCCCCAGCAGATGCAATGAAGCTACCCAGTGATACTCTATGGCAGGGCATCCCATTCATCTTCCACATGCCCAGCTCAACTCTGCCACTCTGAATGAACTCACTAAGCCCTGTGAAATCAGAGCCAGCTGTGACAGCCAATATGGTTTGGAATCCAAAAGCCAGACCAACAGCAGCTTTCTGCTCCCAAAACTTACCGATCCTCAGCCAAATAAACACAACACAACCTTGCTGAAACAATAGGTAAGAAAACAACAAGAGTTGTTTCAAAGTTCCCAGGGTTTTATCTTGCTATCTCGGGTACTTTTGGAAACTTGGTTTTCCACATATAGCATGAGCTCCTAGAAAAGGAGTCTAGAATGCGCTGGGATAGGACATAAGTCTCACACCTTCCCACTGTAGCAGAGCTGGCCCTCTGGGCTCATTTACCTCCTTCACAGCCACGCAGCTGCTTCTCCAGATCCACTCCTTTCAATTCCAGCTCATCCAGCTGCTTCTCGATGTCACGCACCTTCTCCTGGATTTCCTCCTCAGGGAGATAGTCTGGGTGCAGCTAGAAAAATAAAGTTGAGAACAAATACAGCTTGCTCTCCTCAGACTGCCCACTGAGGGCACAGCTCCAACAGAGATGGGACGTGACAAAAGCAGTCGACTGCAGAGCCATGTCCTGGAAGGGCTGAGTCAGCAGAGATGCAGAGCTGGTTGTTCACAACAGAGCAGTGATCACACTGGAATGTTACAAAGCTATTATATGCTCGCTGGAGGTAATAACATCTACCAACTCCTTATTTTTCACAAACAGGGCCTGTAACTTGACCATGGCACATAGTCAATCCACAGACATTCCTTCTCTTTTGCTGGGAGGGACTGTGTCTGCCAGAAATTTGTTATTTGAAATTTGGCAGTGTCTTATTGCAGCAAACTGTCTCATTACTGTTATATTCCAGCTTTTTACAGCCTCTGTTGTCCCCTTGCATGGGAAAGAATCTGCAGTCTCTCCATCTTGTCTCTGCCTTTCACCCCTTTCCCGGAATTTAAATAAACCCTCCAAATAAAATGACCTGAGATATATCGATGCGGAAAAAGGGCTAGCATCCATCTCTCCAGTGCAATCACTCCAGCAAGATCATCAGCACCCCTGGCCTGTGCCCTTTATACATGGTTTCCAGCCATACCTTGGTTGGGGACACTGCTTCAGGGCTCTGGATGCTTTTCGGAGCAGAGGGCTTAACTAGAAGGGAAAAAAAAAAAAAAGAAACCCCACAACAAACTTTCAGTAACACTGTGCTGTAGGACACTGCCTACAACACCTGGGAGCAGAACAGGTCCCTGCACCCAGCAGAGGGCACTGACAACACGCACACATCGGCAAGCCTCGACTGAGGCGAGAAATTTGTCGGCAGGAGACAGCACAGACCTGATTTACTCCTTGCTGCTGGACACTCAGATGCTCTTAGACCACAGGATTCCGCTTGCCTCCTCAGGGCATAGGCAGTCACCTAATCCTCACGCAATCTGGGAGCTTGTTTTACAAGCACCATCTTGGTGGGAATACCAACTTTAGCGTTCATTCGCTAACTTGATAAACCTCAAAGATATCTGTCATGGCAAAATCCACCCCTTATTAAGCTGCCAAAAAGCTGAACAGAAATATTGTGTTATTACCACAGGAAACATCATGTTACACTTAAAAATGCCCTTCATGTACAAAGAGGCATCACTACATACTTATGAAACAAAGATGGTCTAGGGGATCTTAACATGAGCCTCAGGAAATCAAGGTCCAATTCCTTCCACAAAACACTTCCTAGGTGAGAAGTCCCATAGGCCCAGCTACACAGCGTTATTTAGGCCCTGGACACCTATTAAAATCAAACCTTAAGCAATGTGTGTTGGTTCCACTGTGCCTCAGCTTCCTCTGCCCAACTGTACTGCAAGGATAACTACAGAAGAGTGTGAGGTATTTGGATACCCAAGGGGCTGGGCTGGATAATTACCACAGAGAGAGAACACAGCCATACATGGATGATGTGATAAGAAGGGAAGCCTCTAATATCAAAAGAGCAGGCTGTAAGAAAGGCAGGAGTGGTGCAGGCTCAGCACACATATGAGAAGGAGAAAGACAGGAGAAACAGACTGGGGAGCCTCTCAAGAGTCTTTGGCAACCATGCTGAGTGTGGCTGATGAGAAATTCATCGGAGAGCTCAAGAATAGCTCTTAAATTGCCCAGTCCTTGCTGTAATAGTTTTCTAGTATAAGTGCAAAAGGAGGAGATGCTGGGTGCTGGATGTGGCAGTCAGCGATGTTGTCTCTGCATTGCTGGTCTCCAGGTTACTCTCCCCTCTGGGCATAGGTGGCTTGCTACCCCTGTGTTGCCCATGACTCACACTTCTCTTAAAGGTTCCTCTCACAGGGTACTGGCCTGCCACAGGCAGCCTGCTGCTGAATGAGCAACACATCCCTCTCCTAGCTCAGCCCTGCATGTCCAGGCTCCTTCTGGGTGATCTCTGCATCTTTCCAACCACAGCAGAAAGCTTCATCACTGATCATGAGAAGAATGAGGTGGCTGGAGGGGAACAGCTAGTAAAACTTCACTCTCCCGACCAGCATTACACTCTAACTCTCAGGTTCTGCCTCAACAGACACAGGATGGGTTGGCTGGTTGCCTGCAAACTCGAAACAGGACAGGTGGCAAGAGAACTCTGGAGTCCCTTTTCTCAACAGAAAACACTAGCTGTGCCAGAGAAAACTAATAATCTGCAGAAATGGTCACCATCCACAGCCCCATGAAATACACACAGGATTAAGTCTAAGGAAAAACAGGATGGAAAGTTTGGGGAAAATAATGGCAGCAGAGGCACACTAAACTTAAAATAGACAAGGTGACTGGAGTTGGAAAGCTTATCAACTGTCAGAGGTGAAGGTTAAGAGCAGTGCAAGAAACAGTAACAGTAAAGGATGAGACTACCCAATATTGGGGGCCCATCCTGCTTGCTCCAACACAAACATCAGAGTCAGGGCTGAGCCCTGCTGTGAGGAGCTTCTAGGCCAAATAGGTAACACAGAGCCAGATGGGGTGGGGAAGGGGGAAAACAAACAAGCTGAGCAAACAAGACAGCAGCACACATCAGGTTAGTTCCATGACATTTCATTTGCTTTGCAGTGGGCTAGGTAGGAGGGAAGGAGCAAGATAACTGGGCAAGGAGAAGAGGTACACAGCAAAGCTGAGGCTGAGGCTGAACTGACAGAAGGACAAAAAAAACTGGTTTAAGAGTAAGGGCAGATCTGGTCAAAACTGGTCAGAACTTCTTTGAACGTCCAAGCAGCAGCAGCAGCTTCGGCTGCTTCTACAGAGGGTCCCACCAGCAGAGTCTCTGCTGGCAGTTCTCTGCATTCCCTTCATTTCCCAAAGCCACTCAACTGAGGAGGAACAGAGTCCTCAACTAGATCCCAGTCCCCCAAATTAGGAGATGCTCCTCTGCATAGCTTTGAGTCAAAGAATAACAGGGGAGCAACCTTGACAAATCCCCATTTTAAATTCTTCCCTTCCCTTCCTGGAATAAGTTTACCCATTGAATTCCCTGGCTGGTTCCTGCTTTGCCCAACTTGGTTACTAAGGGTTAATGACACAGATTCTTTCCCCCCATGACAACAGCTACAAGCTTAGCCACAGAGAACTGGGATGACGGTCTCCCACAATGAGCACTGATCCCCTGATAGTTCAGAAGAGAGAACGGCTTTAAGGAGATAGAAATGTCCTTACATGTGTAAGTGCTTTGTTTCAACTGGTCCCCTTCTTCCTCCTTCTTGAAAGAACCTCCACAGTCTTCCCAACCTTTTCTCGAATTCTGACAGCTCCTGACAAGATCTGAGCTGGGAAGCAGCTTCTTCTTCACAAACCCACCAGATGAAGCTAGATTCAGAAGCACAGATAGGTCCTGGGTAAGGAGTTTCAACCCTTATCTCACAAAAAAACCCCTTCATCTCGCAGAGTCTTTGACCCTCACCACTAGCCACCCTCATTCCTAGTCCTAACTCTCCTCTTTTGACTGCAGTGAGGGGTACAAGCCCAAACAAAACAGAGAGAAACCACCAATCACAACGCAAGAGTGAGAGAAGGGTAGAGGAGAAGAATGAAAGGTTGGAGACAACGACAAAGATTTCCCACCTTTACACAAGGTTATGCCAGCAAGGTTGGCTGTTATGCCAAGACAGCATAAGCAAAATCTTGTCCACTGTCTCATAGAAGAGGGGACAGTCTATGAAGACCGAGTCCCTCTCCTCAGTGAGGACTGGCTCTCCAAATAAAGGCACTGCAGAGCCAAAGCAGATGCAGAGATCAAGAACACCTCAAAGCAAGGAGCAAGTTCCACCCGCATATTCTTTAACCTTGCACTAATGCCTGTGCCTTGTCTGTCTAGCAAAACAAAGCAAAGCTTATATCCTTCCTACCAGAGTCTTGCTTTCCTGATGGGACAACAGATGGACTTGGCTTTATCTCCTTCCACGCTGGGCTCTCTGTTCCCATCTGAGAGTTGTCAGGAGGTTTCTTAAAGCCACCTAGATCTCTGCAAAGAGGAAACACAAAGGCAGAAAATCATCTCTCTGGCAGACTAGTCCACAATAGGAGCTCCAGGCATCCAGAGCTGGGACCTCCACCCAGAAAAAAGAACAGTCACTCTCTCCTAATCAGGGACCACCAGCCTGAAGCATATTCCCTTCCCCAGAAACCAAAGCCTTTGTCTTTTCCATCAAATATTTAAAAATAGAAAGATTAAAACACAACAGCTCATTTCCTGCACACATACAGGCCTGCAGCAACACACACAGTTGCAGACATAGATATCTCCATTTACTTCTCCTGGAGACCTGCTGGCCCCAAGACACTCACTTGTTGGCCACAGGCTTCAGCCGAGATCTCCAGTCAGCTGGGCTCTCAGACTTGTCTTCAGGAACGTTCATCCTTCCTAAAGGAAGGAACACAGCAGGATAATATCAGATCTGATAGAAAGATACAAGTCAGATTTGTATCTCAGGGGGATCTTGGGAAGGGGACATAAGCCATGCACTGGGCTAGATACTGTGATGTTACTGTAGCAAACCACTACCAGATCAACAAGCTTAAGACGGACAGATTCCTGGGCAATAGACAGTAAGTAACCCTGGTGGCATTTTGCCCCTTTCAACTCGAATGTTTTAAATCCTACACAGATACAGGAAACACAACCACAGTGGAGATGAACAGACAGATGTGTTTGACAACATCACAAACAGCTCAGATCTTGGAGCCGAAATGACAGGAAAAAAGAAAACACAAGCTCACAACAAACACCACATAGTGTTCCTGGCCCAAAGAACCAGGCAATCAGGAAGTGTTTGAGACATAGTGTACCCCCAGAATGGCATCCCTCAGCCCACTTTTAGTCACCATGGTGTAAGTCAGACCAAAACAAACAGGGAGGTTACGGGAGCCCTATCAACAACCATCACCCTGAAGTTCTGGGAAGGTCTCCTATGTCTGCCTAAGCCTCTGAAATCCATCACAGTCCCAACACTTGATGGCAGCTAGTACAACTTCAAATACCTAGAGAACCTCAGAGAATAAAAACTCTCCATGCTGGACAAAACAATTGCACAGGGACTGACAGAGCTGTGCTGAGCCCGAGAACTCAGAAAACCCTTGTGCAGTGGTACAGATAGAAAGTACAGGAGTCATTGATACATTCATTGCACTAGCCCAGGAGAAGGACATAAAGCTGGCATACTGCATCCATACAGAGCCACATGTGAACCTGTTATCCTCACCTTTGGAGACTTTAGACTCTGGTTTGTGCGCAGGGTCAACAGGTTTGCTGGCAGCCTGGCTCTTGGGCAGAGGCTCTGTGACCTTCTCCTGTTTCAGTGCTGTGTGCCCTATTTTGTTGGGCTGTGTTTTTGGAGCTGGACTCTGCCATCGAGAACTGGTGGGAGAAGACTTGCCACTGCAAAAAAGACAAATTTAGCACATCTTTTTGAAAGGACAGACCTTTTTTTGGCCTCTCTTCTAAAGACTTGCATGAGCCTCTCTACATGTATTTAAATTGCACCCACAAAAGTAGTCAGGGAGAAAGGAAGAAAGACAGAGAGACTTCTCCAAATTATCCTAAGGGTCACCTTGGGAACAAAGAGGGAAGTGAAACAGGACTTACCTACTGGTAAGCGTCCTACTGGATGCTGGGGAGCCAGTGGAATTGAGTCCTCCTGGCCTGTTTGGAGAAGTGTCTGACCCAGCCAAAGCCTGCATAATACGGTTACGTGCCTGATCCTTCTCAGCATTCACTGGACTGACCTCAGGAGTGGTTCTGGCAAAGGCAGTTCTATCACAGCCATGGGAAGAAATGACTTGTTTTTTGGTGTCAGGGGTTTTATTGCTGGGGGACTCCAACGACCAAAAAAACTTTTCTCGAGCTTGCTGTGTTTTTGTTGTGGAGGTTGTCCAAAGAGGCCCTGGTGAGGTACTTTCATGGTGATCTGACTTATTTACAGTTGCAGAGGACCGTGGCATATTTACACTTTTGAAGTCAGAACTTCCAGAAGATGAAACAGATGACTTGGTTGAACTAGAATGGCCTTCCTGGCTTGGTTTCTTCAACACCTGTTGCAGCTGCTTGAGTTCTGCTGGTTTCTGGACTGCCCCAGCAGGGGTAAGAGTTGGGGTGCTCTCAGGTTTGCTCCCAGTCCGGAGTCCGGAGTTCCAGACATTGTCTGGCTGCTGATGACTGGTACAGATGAAAGTACCTGGCTCAGGCCCGGCTTTGTAGCCCCCAGACAGAAGCACATTCCAACACTGCTTGCACCTGTGAATAGGAAAGTCTCAGAAAACATCCTCTAGAGTACTGGGAGCGTGCAGGGACATTTCCACTGCCAGCATGGGGAGGCTGAAGGTACCACTCTGGCAGCCAGCATCCCATGTATGCATGTTCTCCAGCCACCAACATAGAAATTGCTAACAGCACGGCCTGAAGTATAGATGAAGACAGACCTGTGCAAAGACCTTCCCCTAAACATGGGCCAAGACAAGGTCCAGGCTGCCTTCGCTCTGACAAACGTTCCCAGCACCACATGTACCTCCAATGCCTCTGAAGAACTTTCCAGCTGTCCAGGACACAATCAGCCTACCTCCTTGAAACCACACAGGCCTCTGTTCCCGCTTTGAAGAGCTGTACCTGAAGCAGTTCCTATGATAGAGCTTCCCATCGACCAAGTGGCGCTGCACCAGGTGGACATGGTTTCCACATATAGCACAGCTGCTGCTGCAGATATTTCCACTTTCTGCCAGGATCCCTTTCTGTGGGGAGAAGCAGTAGGTGAGCAGGCAGCACCCTGTGGGACCGAGCACACAGCTATGAACCTCCCAGGTAGCTGAGCATTCAAGGAGTTGGCAAGATACAGAAGTGATATGCAAACCCTTGTTCCAGCTACCTATGAGTATATATGCAACAGCTCTTGGCAGGACAGACCAAGGGAGACTCTCTCCCACAAAGCCAGAGAGCCAGGGCACTTTGTCTGCGTGCAGGGAAACTGAGGCTCAGAGGTGTCCATTTGAACCAGTTGGGAAAGGTCTTTCCACTGGTGAGAGGAGCTTCCCTTCTTCCATCTTGTTTTCATCTCCACTCTTCCTTGAAACTGTTTCCACAAACTTAATCAATGTTTTCCAGCAAAAATAATATGTTCTGTTAAATAAAACCCTCTATCCCCAAGATCTACTGACTAGGAACAACACAGCCATGTCCTAAAACAACCATACTAGATAGATGCCAACTGGCTGGTGGTTTTCCAGCGACTCCCACCTGAAATTGCATGTTAACCAACAGTAACCAGACCTCTGGATTAAATCCTATAACCAGGGAGCAGAAACTTCAGAGACTGGGTCCTCACCACTAGGAGGCCTTGAACTAGCATACTACTCCCCAGCTCATTGCAAAGATTTAAGACATAAAGAATGCCTTACACCCCATTTCTTACCACGGCAACTGGAGATGTTTCTTTTGGCTTAGCCCTGGCTGGTGGGTGGGCAGGAGGCAGTTTTGGAGGGACTGGCTTAACAGGCTCTGAAATGGCTTTCTTCCCAAGAGGCTCATCCCGGGGTTCGGAGGATGGACGCTTGATTCCAGCCATGCCTCCAACTGGAAGAAAGGACAAAGGGTGGATTTTAAGGGAACGTAAGGCAAACTCACGGGCTTAGGAGTCATTTACTTTACAAGAAGATTGAGGTGCCTCGATGGGTAACGTACAAAGCATACAGGCTTCCTTCACAAGCAGTTCTGTAGTGGAGTGAGGGGTGGGAGGTGACCGGTGAGTTGTACCAACATATGCTGGAAGCAGCTGACAGCTGAAACTGCTGATTTTTTTCTTCTTGGGGAAAATCTCATGGTGGGGGGAACAAAACAGTGGAAAAATACAAAACATCAGGCCTCAATGGTATGGACAAGACCTTCAGTACATATCTGGCCAACAGTCTGGCTGGATTTGAGCACCACTGAGACAGGCACTGCTGTTACATATCACAGCTAAGGAACTGAAGTAAAAAAGGGTTTGCTTCAAGATGCTCTGCTCCAGACTTCCTACAGACCCTGAACCTTCACTGACACGGTTGCCCAGCCCCCCTCCCAGCAGGGATCCTCACAGAGCAAACAGGCTTGTCAAGAAGCAGAAAAGATCACGAAAAACAGGCAATTATAAGACAGACACTTGGTGGTACCGTGGTGGTGCTGATGTAGAAACCAACAGGACTCCGCACAGAAGGACTGAAAATGCCTAATTTTTTTTTTTTTTTTTTTTAGATGAACGAATCCCTCTAAAGTCACAAAAAGCTGGGAAGAGAGAAAAGGGAATCCCCATCACACTTCAAGCAACAGCTGGGAATGAGGGCCCCGTTCCCTGGGAAGTGCAGGAGGAGACTTCCCTGGAAAATAAGACTTCATGCACGATTGTGACAGGCAGGACCCCAGACAGTTCACAGGGATGCTATTTTTGTGCCCCTTCTTATCCTGAATGAGACGCCTCTGCACTCCTTGTGGGAACTCAGCAGTTATTTGAGCCACTGCTTCACTTCTAAGAACAACCAACAAAATGACCATCCGCCTGAAAAGAGATTATACCCTTCTCCATAAATACAGAGTGAGTCTGGGCAGGGTGCAAGGAGCAGAGAGGCAACTCAGTTCCCAGCCGTCTTCTCTCAAGAAAACTTGCTATCCAAATAAACAGCCAGGGCTCTTTCACCACAGGGACCAGCGGACTGGTGACACTTGACCCTGCAAACTGTTTAGACTCAGACTGTGCTCTCACTTCCCACTCGTTCCATTTATCAAATTCCCAAAGCGCAGCACAAAGATGGGTGGCTTCAGCTCTACTCTTCTGCAAATGCATGACCTCAGTAAAATATCAGCCACTCTCCCTCTCTGGTCTTCTGCATTCTGCTTGTTTCATGGTCCTGCTAGAGTCCACTTGGAGGGCAGGACTATGGTACTTGGAGTCTGCTCAGTGTCAGAGGGCACATTTCTGGCTGGGCTCATTTTCAGACATACACACTAACCCCGGCAACAGGAATGCAACCAAAGTGTTTTGTGGGACACTAGAGAGTATAAAAATGTGCAGTTCTTGATAACGTGACAGGAGAGAAGTGGGGGGGAGGGGGTAAAGACCCTAAACTGACCCAGATCCCACCACACGGCATGAACGTGGTGGAGTTTGCTTTAGTTCAGTCAGCATGGAATTAAAACAAGAAATAAAAAAATGAAGATGGGGGAGGGAAGAGGCTGGGGAGGGGAAGAGAGAGCATGCTCAAATGTGTGAAGAGGTGGAGGAGGGGGAAGAGTTTAAGATATTAAAGGCAGCTTTCAGAGTGAATTGTGCTTCCTTTCCAAGATTTAGGACATTTTTGATATGAATCTGTATTCTCCATCTAGATTCACCTTAACCAGTTAAGTCATTCATGTCCCACTTTCTAAAGTTTCCTCTGGAGGAACTTGTGAAATTGGAACTTGTGAAATTGGTTTATCGTATTATTTCATTTTGTATGAGCTTAAAGCCAAATATAAACCAAGTCTATAACAATGCTCCTGTGAGCCCACATAAACTCTGCAGTACACGAACACAATGCCTTGGCAGCCTTGTGGCCTGTTTTATGTTTGAAAGAATTGCTATGACCATTATGTCAGTAAAGGGGATCATTTTCTTCTACTTCCTTACACCAGGGCTGATCTGCTGTACAAGCCATACCATGGATGCTGTTACATCAGTGCAGCTAGCCTCACAGATAAGCTCCAGCTGCCCTAGACTCCATGCTCTCACCAGATTCCCAGTGTGGCAAGGATGAGAACAGGGCTGGAGCTGTTTGAGAAAGGAAATTATAGATGGGAAGAGCAGAGGGGAACCTTCAGTGCTCCTCTTGGAATTTTAGATTGTATTTTAAGAAATTTTAGTTTGAATTTTAAATTTCAAGGCACTAAAAGCAAGGGACAGCACTGTGCCCTTCCAAAAGCACTGATGCTATTGTCAGGCCAGGGTGTAAAGAGATGAGATCCCCAGTTGGTTCCAAAAGGTCTCTATGCAAACTGCTTTGATTCTCCACGCTTGTAAGGAGGCAAGGAAAAGCACAGAATTAAGTCCCAGTCCCGCCCATCCCTCCGAGGAAAAACAATACTTACTAGGCGACCGCCCATGGAAATAGTTATAATACTGGGAAACGTAGGTGAGGATACTCAGCCTGTCTGGTACCCTCAGAGCAACCATATCCTCTGCATCCAGCAAGGCTGGGATCCCCAGCTCTTCCTCTGCCACTCGAAATGCCTAAGGAAGGAAGAAAAGAAAAAGGGGTCTAATCCAGCCCAGGCAGAGCCGCTCCTCATCCAAAGTACCAAACTCCAATGCAAACAGACCCGCTCAAATGACAGCTCTACTGGGGAACAGCTGCACCAGTTTAACTCCTGCATCATATGGCTGTTACGGGAACTAACAGAGTCATGGCTTCCAGCCACAGCACTGAGAAATTCAGGCAGGGAGCCAAAAATCTGGCCTGGCAAGCTGGTTGTAACTCACTGCTCAGGAACTCACCTGGGCTTCCCCTGCCCTTCCTCGAGTCTGCCTCTATCTGGATATGCACAGCTGCAGAGATGGAGAGCGAGGCCTAACCGAAGGAGATGCGTCAGTCCATACTGGCAGGCTCGCTTTCAGGCTTCCAGCCCAACCTGGAGTGCTCCCCAATTAACAGTGCAGAGGTAGGTGTTTGCATGCAGCTTTCTCTCTCCAAGCACTGTGCAAATGTTAATGGTTCCTGCCTACTGCCTGCTCTTCCCCATTTGAAAAGGGGGAAATCTCAGGCTGCAAGAGGGATTTATTTCTGCCAGACTAGAGAGTAGGAAGAGAGGAATAATACAGAAAAATTCCTGATGCCAACTCCCTTCAAGGTTATCCATTTCTGCACCATCTAACATATGTTTTTGGGGCAAGGGTTCCTCTTTGTGATGCCCTCTGCTTTGAAACTGCAGGAGTAAAGTCAGATAAAGAAGGAAAAGGGTATTTTATTTTGCCTTTGAACAAGAGCCTTTACTAGTGGACAAAAAAAGTGCAAGTTCCCTAAAACAACTTTGCCCTTGTTCAACTCACTGCAGGGCTTGTGCTAAGGACTTTTTCCAGCCTTCTTCCTTCCTGACTTATAGTAACAAATCCCTTTCCTTTCCCTTTGGAGCACCCCCTTTGAAATGCCAATACAGCAAAGGAAAACAGCACGTGCAGGTGTGCTGCCACAGAAACCCACAGTGAAAGGGTTAAAGGAAGATTTGAACACATTAAAACAGTCCGCATCTGACCTCTGGCACAGACATACAGCAGGGCTGGTGTACAAGCCAGCTATCCCCGCTTAAGAGAAACAAACAGCCACTGTTTTTCAGCAAGATAATTACAATTTTTTTCCATGGGGTATCCCAGTAAGAACGTAACTGAACAGACACCAAGCATGCTTTCAGCCAATTACCTCTGGCTGCGTCATCCCGGCTGCCAGCCCAGCCTGGCACTTGCCTGTTTGTAACCAAGTAGTTAATATATTCCTTGGAGCGTTCCCCATTGCAATGGCTGCATGACTGGTCTGACCAGTGAGATTTTCTTGCCCGCATTCCCAGCGTGCAGTCTAGCGGGAACACAGGCCATGCCACCTCCTGCCATACAGTGCCACTGGTCAGACTATACCGGACCACAACAGGCGCAGAAAGAGCACAAGGGGATGGCTAGACCAAAGAGAAGGTGCTCTATGAACACACCTGGTTTGGCCATAACTAGGTAAGCAGTGGAAACGGTAGCATTAGGACTTAGTATTGCTGCTGCCTACAGCTGCCTCGTGTTCCTGGGAACTGCTCTTGCTCGGAGATCTAATGGAACTACCACCTAGCATGGGCCAGTTGTCCCACTTCTCTACCCCGCTGTGAAGGTTGGCCTTTAAAGAAACAAAACCTTACTTCTGCATCACAATTTTCATCAGTCACAATGGAGGTAAGTGCCACTGCTTCCATTTTGCAAAGGAAGGTACGGAAGAAGCAAAGCAATATGCTCAAGGCCATCTAGCAGGTCAGAAACAGTTCTCCTCTGATGCCAGGCCGCCGCTACTCCATGCCACTACAATCCACCGGCACTGAACAAACTAGAACCAAGGCTTCTATAAACCTTTTTAATATTTATGTTTTTTTTAAAAACTTTTAGCAAAAAAGCCACCCACAGATTGTTTTTTGTTATTATTATTTTTGGCATTTGAAGAGCGACACATTCTTCCTCAGCAAAAGACCTTATATGGCAAGTCACAGCTTTGACAAAAATTTTTTTAAGTTGAGTAATACAGCTCCTGAAAAGAAGTTATGAGTAGTGAGGCATCAAGGAGGGTCTGAACAACAGCAGACAAACAGCTCTGGGAGAAATCAGACCCGTTCACATCCCAAGGATGGTCAAAGGGAAAAAGCCTATGATAGAGAGCAGCTCAAGGAGGGAAGGCCAGACCACAAACCCAGTATCACAGGGAGATGGAGGTATCACTCCACTCAAACCAGAGCCAAGCCAGCAAGGATACCAGCAGTGACAGAGCAATACGGACAAATCATCCTACAGCACATAAAGAATAGAAGAGAAAGTGTACAAAATAAAGGACAAACTAAGAAATGCAGGAAAAGGAGGGAGGGAAGCACAGGCTGACACAAGGGAGGGAAGCAACTGTTTTAATGGTAGACTCAGAGAAGCTTTTCATTAATAAAAGCAGCGAAGGTGGCTTGTACGGCTCATTTCCCAGAGAAAAGCAAAGTCACCCACGGAAGAGACAGTCCCAGCCAGGCTCAGGGAAGGAGAAACACACAGGGCTTCACAGCCCTCTGGCCAGGGTGACAGTCTATGGTGGAAAGGCCCTGACCCCTGGCAAATACCAAAGCTCGTGCAGACAAAAACCTCAGGCTGAATCTCACTTAGGAGAGAGGAACACGCAGGGCTGAACCCTAGAGAGTCTGAATAACTGCTCATGTGCTGCAGCCCCAGTTCGGGAGAGGGGGGAGACTACACAGGACCTGTTGCAGACAGTGTGAACAATGCCAGGGCCAAAAGGGAAAGGAGGCCCCGGACCACTGCGCTTAGCTCTCCTGGAAGCAAGGACCACCTCAGACAGTTCACTGTATCAGAGGATGTTACTCCTCCAGTTCAGATAGGAACAAGCTGTGGTGGTTTGCTCACATCCCAGGCTCCTGCCAAGCAGCCATGAAGCTGTGTGGAACAATGCCAAGGGAAGAACAGCATTTTGATCTGCTGCCTCTGTCTTTGTGAGGGAAAGTGGGAGGAAAAAAATCCTTCCTTGGAAGCACTCAGCCCATGCTTGAATCCAGCGCAGGGAGGGGGCTGGCCTGTCCAACTTCTAGTTCCTTTGTGGACAGAATAAGAGAAACTCAAATCCCATCCTGGAGCGATGAGTCCAGGGAGCGCATAGTTTTAAGACCTCTCCACCTTCCAGAAGCATTCATTCCCAGCAACTGGGAGTGATCGGAAGTGGGGATAGACTCTCTACGCTTCCTCTCCCACACCAGCTACCTCCCAGCTCCTGCTCTATCACTCAAAAGCGGCATGTGCTCAACATGTTTGTGCCTGCATCCTGACCTCCAGCATTTTTGCCTCAGTTTCTGCTGCTGCCTCCAGCCAGACAAGGGAGAGACCACACTCACTGCTTGGAGCCGGTTCCCTTTTCCCTATCCTGTTGACAGCGCTTCCTTCAAAATCATTTCTCCAGATCCTCGCCTATCGTAGCTCTTCTGCCATCCCCACCACTGAGGCCTGGCCAGACTGCGGTTATGAGAATACTGATCCTCCTGCTCAATTCTAGCTACAACTGACAAAGGCACGGAGCACAGCTCAAAATCACAGCAGCAGAGGGAGAAGCAACACATCCCTCCTCTAAAGCACCAGCCTGGCCCTGGTATCCCTTCAAAACATCCCAGGTTCCTCCTTGTCTCCTTTCAAAAAAAGTCTATGACCATTTCAAGATCAGACAGGACTTCAAAAGCATCTTTCATTCGCAGATTGTGCTGTACTATACAGACTCATCAAAGAGGTGAGGAGTAATGGGAATAAGGGCTCTCTCTGTTAGGCAAGAGTTGGCAGAGTGATCAGATCTGTACAAAAGGAGAAAGTGACACAGTGGTCCCAAAGGAAACCGGACACACTAAAGCCATACACATACATCACCATATGGCCAGAAAAGAAGTGCGAGCAGCCTAAGGGTGCTTTAGGCAGCCAGCAAGCGTGGTCATTACCACTCAAGTCAAAAAGTTGGATGCATGCAGAGTAAGTGAAATGATTTGAACATAGTACGCTTAGCACACTGCATTTGCAGGGTTTCTTTTGCTAAACCATGTAAGGAAGGTGCCAGGTCATATAGTAGACCAAAGGTAAAACAATAAATTCACTTACCAACTTGTTGTTCTCGTACACGTTTTCTTTACTAAGGGAGTTGAAGTTTCTGAAATAGAGAAAGGGGGGAAGGGGAAATCAGGTTGCTAATACAGAGCAGGCTGCTTCATTTCCAGCTTCATGAACCTCTCTGAGTCTCAATGGCTAAGAAAACACCTCCTTCCACCCTGCTTTTTCAGAGAAGCTGCAAACAGAACAGTACAGTAGATCCCATCTGAGCCTCCAGACAGCCATAGATAGACCTGCTGCACCTCCTAGGACAGGAACGTGCAAGAGACCCAGCAGGCACAGCCTCCTGCCAACAGGCATCACAGCACATTTGTGGCACATCTACCCTTGCAGGGCTGACTTCCACAGCCTCCCGCGGACAGGACAGGCTGATGTCAAAATATCCCATGCACATTCAGGAGTTCTGCAGTGACAGCAAGGAGCAACTTTTAACTCATGTTTTTACAAAATCCTTGCTCTGCTCCCATCCCAAAAGAATTAAATGATGCCTGTCGGTCAGATTTGCAACGCTCTCTCTCCCCAAAAGTACCTTCCAGAGAGTCATATCCATGCCCTTCTCCCTTTTTCAAAGGTGCCTTCACAGAGAGAGATCTCAAAGCTCAGAGAAGGTGTGGGTAAACGAGACTTCACAAGTATCACAGATTTTTCTGATGCACCCATATCCTCTAATCTCAGAAGCTGCAGGTCCAAGTTTCGGTTTCAAATCCTGTTCCCCCCTCTGCTGTAGCTCCACAAAACTTGTACCAAGAATCCGCATGAGAAATACCTTTCCCTATACAGTCGCAGTAGCAGCTGATAACATCAAAATTGCCTGTAAAAATCTAATTCTCCTTTCCCTAGCACTGTTACCTTTGGCTTGTAATCATAACCAATAACCGAAAACAAAGAATCAATTACTGTTTACAAAGTCAACAATCCTTCTTCCTTTCTGCTGTCCCCAGACATCACCTCTCTCTTCCCCTTTCCACTTATCTCTCTCCTCCCCAGATTTGCTCCCCCCCTCTCTGATTCAACACAGATGCCACTTCTCTCTCTGCACTGTGCTATCCGGGGAACTCAGAAACTGGGACCTGGAAGGACAGACAAGAAAGCATAGGGGGAGAGTGAGTTTCTGCCATTGGAGGTAGAGCCCCGAAACAGTGTGCTTTCTCTACCTGTAGGTGCCCTCAGCCTGCCCTCACCCAGAGCAAGGAGTGTCCTTTGCTTAGGAAACATTCACCATCTGATCTGTTTTAGACTGACCATCGCTTGCTAAACTGGTATTATAAAACCAACCACTGGCTGGCAGCCCTCTTCCCCAACACTGCTTCCTTCTACCCAGGCAAACAGGCAGGGTCAGCTCCTTCTGATAACCCAGTTTCACTCTACAGTCCCTGCATTTGCTGGCACACTGCTAAAATTTGAAGCCAGAAACTCTGGAACAGAAGGCTTATATCTTACAGTGGAAATTCCCATTAAGAATTAGGAAAATTGTATGTTACCAGCTTTTGTTTTTGAAAGCAATGTTTTTATAACAAATCCAGATTTACCCTTGTCAGCTAGTCCCTCAGCTCTGAAGGGGGAAGGATAACGGGGTAAAAATCCAGGGTAAAGCTGACTCAAAGTGATCTATTCATGAGACAAACACATGATCCGTACTGTAGCGGGGGAACTTTTTCCATGACTTGTAACAGTAAGGAGCAAGCTGGGTTCTTTATCTACTCCGTACAGAAAGCAGCACTTTACATTATAAAGAAGAGAGGCCCCTTAATACAGGTCCCCCCATCATGCCACGGGCTGTGCCACCTTCTCTGTTTTCCACATCTGGATGCAGGCATTGCTATGCTGGATAAGGAGAGAGTGAACAGGAAGCGAGGGAGGAGGCACAAAGGTCAAACTCCTGAGAAGCATGTAAAGACAAGGCACATCCCAACTCTAAATCATGTACTTTTTCCCGTGCAAAATTGAAAGGACTTGCTGAGGTTTTCTTCAAGCAAGGCTCCTGCCTGGAGATTTCCCTTCCCTGAGACAATAGATTAAAAACAGCAATGAAAATAATCACAAAGTCAAAAAGCTCCAGTGAAACAATGGATATAATCATCCTGTTTTGTGCAAGGCAAGAAAATTAGCTTTTTTATTTTAAGAGCTAATTCAAGGAGCTGTTTGCAGCTCTCTGCCCCGCTCCCTATTCTGCTCCAAATTCTGCACCTCTCCATAGCACAGAGGTCTTGAACACAGTAAAACACCTGAAAGAGCAAAGGGAAAATCCAGCTTCCTTATTCAGGTGAACACAACACAGTGCTGAGGAAAGCAGGAGTCACATGCGAGCGCAGCGAAACTGGGCTGAGCGCCGGAGAGGTGTCCAACGTCACGACAAGCCCAGGCTTTCCTTTGCTTTGCAACGACACATCTAAACGCAGAAGCAGGGTAAGCGTGAAAGCAATCGGTGCCAGACTCTCAAATAATACTGAACCTACCTATTTACTCTCCATCCGTGCCTTTCACTCTTGCACTACTGAATGCCGTTTGCTACAGTAGCATGTATTCAGCTTCACAGCTGTGTGGCATGGAACAGAGACCTAAAAGCCTAAAACTCTGACGGTGACTGTTTGAAATCTCCTCCTGCCCCTAAAGGAGGGTGCAAACAGCCAGGTTACTTGGTCGTTTAAAGAGCCTCCTGCCCTCCCAGCATCACTCCGTCCCTAGCTAGTCAGGTGATCAGCTTACATAAAAATACTTCTTTAGGAAATTGATCTTGCCAGCGCATCTCCTATCCTGGAATATCAAATACTCTCTGCAATGTAATCCTAAGAAAGAAAAGTTAATACAAATGGAGAAGCAGGAGTTTTCCACTGAGAAAACATGGGCAACTGAATTAATTGGAAGAGGTGAGAAACATAAATCTGACCCAAGAGAGGGCCTCCAGTGTTGGAAACAAATCAGAATGGAGTTCAATAGTGCAGGAAAAGAAGTTTTTAGCTCCCAAAGTTCTTCTCTAGTAAAAGAGTGGCTGAGCAATTCCCATGCCCAGAAATCTCTGTGACCCACCCCTGCTCTGGCTGCACAGACCCAGAGTTTGCATAGCATGCCACAGTCCTTCCCAAGCGCGCATGCTTCCCTGGGAGGGACTTCTGCTGCTGCTGCAAGCACTAACTCTGTGGGAAATGCTACCTTGGAGCAGACTGAACAGAAAATGGCCCAGAGGCTAGCGTAGGCAAAGCAGGTCCCGCAGAACCTCACTGCCTCTAGGCACCTCCATACCATTTTTGTAAGATATCTGCTGTCAGAAGGATGACTGAAAAACAGAAAAGCATCCTTTGTCTGCACGCAGTCCTTGAACTGAGGGTTCAATCCCGTCTGCTCTTCTGAGAACAGGACCTTTCAGCAGCTTGCTTACCGGAGGTACAACAACCTGGAGAGAGGTGACAGGGCTGGGAATCCTAAGTGGAAGATGCCCCCCTTGCTCTCTTCTTCCTCTCAGTGACCCCTGCTTCACAGCTTCTCTGATCTCACTGGAGGGCTGACATGCTGCTGGGGGTGACTACGAAAGGATGAGTCTCCCTTATTCCAGAACCATCCTCCCCTTACCTACGCCTGTCGTAGGAAACACAACCTGGAGGAAGCCAAGCAGGTAGCAGCTCTGCTTCGCTCCAGCCCTTTGCTGAGGAGACGGAGACCGTGGGCAACCTGCCTTCAGCACAGCCGAGGCAAGCACCCCAAGCCTAGGGTCAGCAGTGGCTGGGTCACTTGGTGCTCGTCCCCCTTTCTGTCTTTTTTGGAGGCTCGTGGCCTCCTCCTCCCTGGCTGAGCTGACAATGACCCAGGAAACAACATCGCTGGAGGCAGCTGCCCTGCTCCAGCCACCAAACGCGCCTGAGCACACAGCTGCCAAGGGGGATTTCACAACCAGGCAATTCCCAGAACGCTGAGTTAAATACCAGTTAACGAGCCGGGAAAGAGCAAGATCCAGGATGAAGACAAGGAGCTTAATCAAAACCTTTCCTCAACATCTGGCATTTATTTCAGACCGAGTGAGCAGGAGACCATGGCTCCTCTACTTCTTCTAATTCACTTATCACACTCAGACCACTAAAACCTCTGGTCAGAGCTCGCACAGCCAACACCATCACACACAGCAGCCACAAAACAGAGCCCACGTTTCAGAGTCCCACTTCATACAGCTAAGAAGTTCCATATTCCTCTGACGAGAGGAACTTCAGTGCTCTGTAATCAGCCCAGCAAACGGACTGAGACCTGCCTGATGCAGCATGCGCACCTGTCTGGGGCTGGGTATGAAATACTCTTCAGCTGGGATGAAAGAGAAGTGAATTTCCATGGCAATTCAGTTGCGTGTTTCTACTCCAACAGAGCCCAGTCTGTCTGCGAATTCTCGGGTGAGTGGGAAGTGCGTGGGAAGTGCATTTCTGATTTCACACAGCCTGCCCTATTCACCGATAACATACAGACTGACATAACCCAAGTTTGAAAGAAGCTATCATATTCTCCACGTGTTTTCTGGCAGGAAAACAGGAAGGGGGAAGAGATATATGCCAGTCTATACTCTGACCCATGTATTCTCAACCCCGCAAGAGAAGCACATTATTAACTTGTTTTGAATTGCCTGAAATTTTCTTGTGAATGTCTCCAGCCTCCTCGAACAAGAAATCCCCTCTCCGTACTGTTCAGTCCTCAGCCCAAGAATGTCGTTTACACAAACCAAGACAGAAAACACATTATTGCAAAACTCTGATGCCGTGACTGAATTGCGTTCTGTAAGTGATTTACATATAAGGGCTGCTCCAAACACACCGAGCTCTCCAAACACCAGTTATCCTATTCTAGCTTTACTTTCAGTATGATGCTTTTAACATCCAACTAGGATCTTTGCTAGAAGCAAGCTTCTGGAGCTCAGGATAAAGCATTTCAAGTCCCCAGGGAAGTCAGAGGCGCAGCCACATGCACACCCAGCCACGCTTCCCTGCTAGTGGCTCCTGTGCCGTAAACTCAGAGCGGCTTTTGAAGATTCACAGAGAATTTGCACAAGTATCCAGCCCCAGGAGCCAAGGTACACGTGACACCCTGCAGCCTTGTCCACCAACCACTTCAATATGTGACTTCCTTCCAGCAGGACTTTGACCATCCAAGGATATACACCTGGTGCTTTACTGCATTTACACTACTGTCATTGATGAAGGAGGTTACACATAAAAGACTCTGTTACTTTAACCTTTACGTCATCTTCACCGAGCTGCTCTATATCAGAAAGAGCTTCTATAAGGTCCTGAATAAAGTCAGGCAGAATTTTTTTCAATTCAACGGGAAAGGACCGATGTCACTAGGAACATTTTCCCTCTTGAGTACAGAGGCATTTATTTAAGATAAATCTATCCACAGCTCCTGGTGCACAATTTAAGGATTATAAACAACTTACTAATTTGTGCAGCAGGATTATTCCAGCTCTCAAGTCACTAAGCCCCTGTTTACATCCATGTCCCCAGATGGGCTGACTGCACAGTTGGCCAGGAAGTGGCTGCAGTCCTTCTAGGAGCACCTCCCAGTCACATCAACATTTTTGCCCTAGTATTTCATATCTTATAGACTATGAATCAAAGGAAGGAAAAGAAACATTTGGAGTCACGTGGAAATGAAAACACGTCAGGAAGCCATACATAACAACACCATGGTGACTGCCCAAGCATTGGCAAGGAGGAGATAACACAGAAAGTGCGCCTAAAGTTCCTGCCTAGTCTCCTACTGTTCAAGCTAGCCCTTGCCTCTTGCAAGTTTCAAAACAACGGAGAAGAGAGCAAAAGGATGTCTCCTCCTTGGGTTCCCACAAGAAGGGACACCTGCAACAGAGATCTCCATACATAACTCCCTGTGACAGGCTGTCCTGAGAACCCAAGGGAAAAAAAAGGCAGAATTCAAGGAGCAGGAGGAAAACTGCAATACAGAAAACACAACCTTGTCCTCTGCTAGTCAACCACGTCTGACTGGAAGACATCTAATGCTTAAATCAATACTGTAGGGAAGTCTTTGCACTGCTTCCCTGCACTGATCTCCCTCTTCAACCCCCCCATTCCCCCGCCCCCGTCTTCAAGTGAAAACGGCCAGGCGAAAAACCGAGGAAACAGAATTTATATCTTCCTTTGGCATTACACCTATCCAGATTTTAAATTTGGGTAGAGGCAGGTCAAAGTCTATAGGACAAGAGCAAAGAGGCCAGCAAGGAATGCAAGGCACTTTGCCTCCCACAGACCAGGCTCCGAATGCGAAAACACCAGTTTGTAGGAATCCAGCAGCCACCACGCTCCTGCCTTCACAAAGAGCTCCTCTGAAAAGAGGACACTTTCCCTGTTCCCATGGAAGAGCGAGTGGGCTGCGGGGAAGACGTAAGCTTTCTCCTGAACAGCTCCTATTAGATACTTAGCAGAGCAGCCTGCCTGGAAACTCCCTGCACTCCTATTGCATTTTGTTTAAATAGCATCTATTCCTTAACTAAAAACTGACAGAACTGCTGTTTGGCTCCGCAACAAAAGCCGAGCCTAAGCAAACACAAACAGCAAAGAAGGAAACGTTTCCCAACTGCTGCCTGAGCTTGCTTTGCAAAAGCAAGGACATACTTTAAACGTTTATCCTTTGGCCGCAGCCTTCCACAACTCCTTAAAAAACAGAAGGGGGG